AGGATAACTGTTTCTACAATGTTTTGACAGTTCACAAGACTCACAATGAAGACTGGACAAACTAATTCCCTTAAACAATTCTGGGAATAAATGACTTAATGTAGAAAAAGAAAGATGACGCAAACGAAAATGACATAACATGACTCGACTGATGGACTTTGTAGATGTAGACCCAAAAGCAGCTTTTCCAAGTTGTTCATGGCACTGTCCAAGAGTATCCTGCAGATATATTCCATTTGCCTCACAGCCACTCCCAATCACCTTCTGAGACTTCAGATCCTAAAAAACACAGTAGGAAGGGAAGAAAGTTACACAACAGTTTAATGACTTAGTTAAGCTACTTACAGATAACAAGTTTGTATTTAGTCTGGGTACATGAAGAGCAGAAGGAAAAACTAAGGAGTTTGTAGCCTTGATGGTTCCCTTGCCAGAGATAGGGGCAAGAGAGCCATCGGCTAGGGCGATTTTGTCACGTCCAGGAAGTAAATCATATGAAACAAATAAAGTAGAAAGGCTGGTCATATGATCAGAAGCACCAGAATCAATAATCCATGGGATCCTACTATTACCTGAAATGGTTGCATGATTGGTAGAAGCCCGTATACCTGAATGAGCAAATGCAGAAGAGATTGAATTTCCTAGAGGATTGGAAGAAGAGGTCACACCCTCTAGGTGACTAATCATGCTCCCAAACTTCTCATATTTTGCCTTCATAGTTGCCAACTGCTCACTAGCCATCATCTCTTCAGTTTGGTATCTGTCACTATCTGGACCAACAGCAACATTGGCACTCCCTGCCTTTATATTATCAGACTTCTTCTGAAACCGAAGTGGTAGAAACTCGGGATGCAATTTATAGCACTTGTCTTTAGTGTGTTTTGGCTTTTTACAGTACTCACAGATAATCTCTTTCTTCCCTAAGCTACTTGGAGTCGCTACAACACCCTTGGGTTTCACTCCCATATTAGCGAAGTGATCATTTAGACCAGCCCCTTGGACCTGGGCAAGTCTTCTGCTTTCTTCACTACTTACCAAGGCATATGCTTGAGACAGTGAGACACTATCCTTGGATAAAATATTTTGCTTTGTAATGTCATACTCTGGATTTAGCCCTGTCAAGAACTCATGCACCCTGTTTTTCTCAACCAGTTTTATGTAGGTCCCAGCATCCTTAGTGGTGTCCCAGGCTACAGCTTTTATCAAATCTATTTCTTGCCATATAGACTTAAGTGTTGAGAAGTATACAGCTAATGGTTTCTCCCCCTGTCTCAAATTCTTCACATCACTTCTCAACTTGTAAACCCTGACCACATTTAATTTTTGGGAATATGTTTCAGCAACACTATCCCAAATTTCCTTTGTTGAATTCATCCACAAATAGTGTTGACTAATCTGTGGTTGCATTGAGTTCACAAGCCATCCAATAATA